TTATTAATATATTATTAAATATATATATAATATGTGTGTGTGGGTGTGTGTAGTAGTGTGTGTGTGTGTGTGTGTTGTGTGTGCAATATATATAATATATAATGTATATTATATATATATATATTCACACATATATATAATATATATATTTATATATATGGTACACCACAACAACACACCAACACACAACACACACCATATATATAAATATAATAATATTATATTATATATATATATATATATATTATAACTTATCATCAATAATTATATATGTTACACAACACGGATATATATATATATAATAATATATATATATATATTATAATAGTATAAATATATAATATATATTATTATCTGTGTGTGTTGTGTGGTGTGTGTGTGTTATGTATATATATATGTTATATAGTATATATATTTACTTGTTATTACCAAGTGTAAACATATACATGTAGATAATTTTCACCAAGTAAATAAAAAAAAAAACCGTAGACGTACCTGGGACACATATACAAAGGTTTTAAAAAATAAAAATTACGGAAAACATCTGTGCAAAACGGGTCCAGGTCTGTGGTGATGAGATAAAATGATTATCTCGTTGACAAAAGCGGTCGCACTCCTGAATCGTGGGGGCGTCAAAAACTCCGGGTTCTGATGGAAACGACAGAGTCGGGGATGTGAGCCGCGGTGCGTTCCAGTAGTGCGACCGAAAGGGGATTGATTGTTGTAGCGATCGGAACCGGACTTTCTCTCACCACATCTTTGGGCAGGAAATTAACGGCAAGTAAAGCACGGTCGTTTTTGTTTAGGGGAACTTAGAGGGTTTTGTGTCTGTATATTAGTAATATATATATAATCTTATATAATGTCATTATATATAATAGATATATATACCTATATGTATATTATATATAATATTATATATAATATTATATATATTATAGATAGAGAGAGGAGAGAGAGGAGAGATGTGAGGGAGGGCCCCACCCGAGATGGGAGAGGAGGGAAGAGGGTGGAAGGAGGAGAGGAGAGAGAGAGAGATCTGTTGTTTGCGTATGTGGTGTATGTTTAATATATAAAATATAGTTATTGTACATATTATCTAGATTTATATACTATATATTATATATATATTATATATATATATAATATATTATATATATGTACATACACACACACACAACCACACACCACACACCCCAACATATTATATATATATAATATATATATTATATATATAATACTATTAATATATAATATATATATTATATAATATATATGTGGGTGCTGTGTGTGTTGTGTGCTTGTGTGTGTGTGCGTGTGTGTGTGTGTGGTGTTAGACACTTTTTACCATTTATATGTGTGTATTTTATATATATTTATATATATAAATAAATAGGCAAGATTATACTTATATAAGTAATTAATATATATATAAATATATATATCATAACATTGAACATTTTACATTTAGAATATCTATATATAATACATTATATTATATATTATAATATATATATATTTATATTAATAATTGCGGGATATTATATATATAGATATTATATATATATACAGATAAATAATATGATATATATAGTATATATATCTCACACGACACAAACCACACACACACACACACAGAGCCACACACATATATTACTACTCACCTTATTTATCACGAGTATATTATATATATTATACAGATAGTAATACACGTACTACCAATAACATTATATGTTAACTTCCATAAACTTATGAGAGATAGATAATGATGAATAGATATATGTAACATATATATTATATATATATATAATATATATATTATCTTATATATATATATATATATATGCATGTAGGTAATGTGTGGTGTATATATAATCTAATATATATTAATATATTTACATATAATATATATATGATATATAATTACATATATATATTATATATCTATATGTGTATTGGTTTGTGTGTGTGTGGTTGTGTGTTTGTTTGTGGGGAGTGTGTGTATTCATGTATATGTATACACATACACACCATGGTATATACTACAAACAATATAGATATATATATAATCTTATATATATAAATATAATCATATAATATATATATACCACACAGTAATATATATGCATGGATGTATATAGATATACACAATGTTATATATATAATATATATATATATAGATATACACTATATATACACATAGAGATATATGCATGGTATATATATACATATATATATATATATATCTTTATGTATGTTATATAGTATAGTATAATATAACATATATATAGAATTAGATATATCTATAAGTAAGTATTATATAATATCATATATATATTATATATATCTACTATAATATATATATATTATAAGTATATATAACAACTTAAATCTAAGTATAGTACTAGGTAATGATATAATACTAATATGTATGTATATAGCAGTATAATATATATATTATAAGAGATATATTTAACACACTATATATATGATTATATAT